GCAGTTGTAGTTGTTATTTTGTTATTTATTTATGCTGTGCTGGCCTCAAACCTTGGGCCTTTAGCGTTGCTAGTTGAGCACTGCACTGCCAAGCTACATCCCCAGCCCTGAGGTCTGTATTTTAATTTCAGTGTTTTTGTGCTCATTGGAAATATATGTAAGAATAACTAATTTTTCTACATGTACCTGAGTCATGCAGTCTTGCTAAACTACTACTTCTAAGTTTTGTTATAGATTCCGTGGAATTTTTTATGTAGACAATCATGTCATCTCAAATAGGGACAGTTTTGTTTCTTCCTTCCAATATGTATGCCCTTTATTTCCCCTTCCTTCTTGCTTTAGCTACAACTTCCAATAGCCTATTGAACAAGGGCAGTGAGAGTAGACATCTTTGCCTTTTTCCCAATCTTAGGGGAAAAGCACCTTAGACTCAGTATTAATAGAAGGTAGCTGTAGGTTCTTTTGGATACCAGCTTTTTGCTGGTTTGATTTTTAAATTGGTGCAGCAAGTTAACTTAATAAAGAGGAGCAGTCCTGATGGCCTAGAAAATGGTCAGGTGGTTTGTGTGACTAATGGCTCCAAGGGTTTATTGTCCTCTCTCAAAATTTTTCTGCCACTCTGAATGAAATTTAGTAGTCAAACCCTTATTGTTTTGAATAAAGGCATTTAAAAAAATGAAAAAAATCTCTTAAAAGGCCTAAGGTTTTCTAGTGCTGTTACTCTTACCTTTGTGCATAGTTTCTTTTCTCCTTATCCAAGCATAGAAGGCATGGGATGGGTGGGAGAAGAAAGGAGAGGCACAGATTTTGGAACAAACAGTGCCTCAGCTGGGCACCAGGGGGGTGCTAAGTGCCTTTTCTAGCTGAAGTACAGACAGGACTCTCAAAAAGGACCTGAAGCTTAACTTAACCTTTTAAAAAGTTGACATGATTTTTTTATATTAAATAACTATAATTTGAAAAGTACAAAGTGCATTTGGGAGGTTTGTTTTGTGATTTGTTTCCCAATGACTCTGCATTTGTTAATGCCGCCTCCAAAGTGCACATTGTAGCAGCAGAAGCAGTTTGCTAATGATAGCCCTTTTGTCAAGAATGACAGCGTATCATTATTTTACTTTCAAAACTAGGAGATGATATAACACCACGTTATAAGAATGAAGCACAAATTATATTTCACAAAAAAACAGCTTTTACTTTCTTCATTTGGAAACATAATTACAATATTTCATATCTTCTCAAGTCTCACAAAAATGTCCTAAGTAATTAGCCCATATAGACACTAAAAATTTAAAAAGGTTATTACATTTTTTGTTTGCAATTTTGCTTATAGAAAATTATTTTCAATTTAATGGCATTGCGTGCAGTACCCTTACCATAGTTCATCTGGGGGTTCTGGTTGCCCCAGCTGAAGTCTGGAGCCATTCTTGTGGAACTATTATTATAGTTTTATTGTTTTGATTTCTAGATCATAATGAATATCATTTTTTCTTTTTTGCTGAACTTCTAGAAAACCTCTTCTCTGAAATGATTGCCTCACTTATTTCAACTTTTCGTCTTTTGATAGCTATGATTAATGTTATTTATTCTAATAGCTTTCACAATGTGAAGTTTAAACTATTTCTGTTTTGTGCATCAAACTGCAAATATATTCGGTCCTTTAAGGGTTTTCTTTAGATTAAGGATAAGGCCCTTTTTTTTAGATGCAGGGCAAGAACTGTGATTAGTAAGCAAAGGTTAAGGAGGAAAGTGTTTTGGAGTAAGCGATATAATTTTCAAATTGATGAGGAGGAACCAAAACTCTAGATGGGCAAAGGAATTATGATAAAAATACCCATCTGCTCTGAATTAATTGAGATCTCTTTACCTGGGTGAATTATTTTCCTGGGAGATGATAGTGGCTTTGAATGGGATCACAGAACCACTCTTTATTATCTTTGAGGACTCGTAGAAAGAGAATAGTACATAAACCCTGTTCCATGTATGAAATGCCTATAAATTATAATCAGTGAGCTTAATTTCAATTCCAGACAAGATTTTAGAATAGATTGTTAAAAGGTGGTTTGTGAGGCTATATTATCCAAAATGGTAACTCTTGGACCAATTTTATATTAATAGGCAGCATGTAGATCTTGCCATTTCATTTTTTAAGACCCAGTAACTGTATTAGACATAGAATACATGGACTTTGTGAAGATACTTGATAAAGTTTGTAATATTCTTGAAGAAAGTGTGAAGAATTTTAGGCTGTTTACGAAGATAACTGGGTAGTTTAACAATCAGATGAAGAGTTGTACCTGGAATGGACTGAGTAATGGATCAGTGTTTGCCAGGGTGATATGACATGCTATAAAAATTCTAGCCTCAGTGTTTCTAAATCAAAGCAATAGGTGGATAAAATGACTTATAAGGATCAAACTTGCAAAAGACACAAAGCTGAGAATTTTCTGGATACCAAACTTAACAAATAAAGGTTGAATCTGGATATATATCTCATGATCTATGATCTCTCTATATGTTTAAGATTATATAAGAGAGATATTTACATTTATAGTTCTGTACTTGGATCTGAAAAGCTGAATGCTCACATCATAGAATGGGAAGTATTAATTTCAAGGAAGATGTAGCTTAATGTGGAAAAGAGAATAGTGGAAGAAGATTGGGCGTGGATCCCAAGACAGCCAGGTCTTAAGAAGGACTAAGCAGGGAACTGAAAAGTCACTAGGCATAGGACAGTGACTGGTTCCATTTTTGCTTTCTCTCTCTGGAGCCACAGTGTTGCCTTGGCTTCTCTGTGCATTCGTCTGCTCATTCTTCCGTCTCATTCAAGTACTGTGGCTTACTCTAGGTCTTGCACATGACCCTCTCCCTTATGGTTACTGCAGAGGTAACCCAAATGCTTGACTCGTCAACACTTACAGATATAGTGGCTTATCCCAGCCTAGAGCTTGATTCCTTTGGGTCCAGTGTCTAATTCTGGTTCATGAATCAACAATGGCTAGGCTGGATAGGTAGACAGAGTCTTAGTCTCATTCCCGCCCAGAACAGCCAAGGCTGTGGAAAGTGGTATCAGTGAGAAGGAAATGATTGGCATATTCAGTATAATGAGACATGGGGTTTGCACTGTAGTATTTTTTTAAAAAACAGGGAATTGTTTATCATAAAAGCTAGTTGCAGTACATAATAGCAACATAAAATTGCTAAAAGTAAAATGAGCAATATATTCTAGGGTAGTATTTGAAGATATTAGTAATGATATTACTACTGAGACTTTAGAATAAGGGATGTTTGAGTCCTCTCTTATTGTGTTGTAAGACCAAAATATTCAATTCTGAAATATTCAATTCTGAGCAATATACTTTGAAATGCATAGAACCTTTAAACACACTCAGAAAATTATCTGGAATGAGAAAGAACTTCAGAAACATTGTGTGTGGTAAGCAGTTAAAGGGATTGGAGGTGTTGATCTGGAGAAGCAAAAGCATGACATATTCCAATTAGCTGTCTTCAAATATTACAGAAACCTTGGTGTGAAAGGCTGTTGGTGTTTGGGGACGTTCTGCATGGTTACTAGGGGGTACAAGGATTGGTGTATGCTCTGGGGTGGCAGATTTGGGGCAAACATGAGAAAAGGTTTCCTGARAAACAGAAGTGGCAGAAATAGGACAGCCTGCTTTGGAAAAGTAGTTTCCCATCCTTTGGAATGTTGAAACATGAGCTGGACAACATCCAGGCTGGATGAACCCACCTCAGTGAACCTGTTCAGAGACTGAACCATATTTCTCATGATTTTTTTCAAACCCCGATGTTTCATAAATCAGTGACAGAGGAGTGATGTAGGCACTCACATTTTGTATTATGATTTTAATTTGAAGTTTTTATTAATATTTAAATTAGTCTACTTTTACTTATTAAAAATTTGTTATTACTCTCTTTCTGCTGACATTYGTTTAGTGGCGTTGCTAGGTGGTACCGCTTAGTTAAAGGAGCAGCTTCTGTTGTCTCAAGGGAGGTTGCATGAAGAATATAAGTACTTCTGAAATCATCCAAGAGTTGGTTTCACCTTACTGCCCTAGAGCAAATATTTTATGAATCTATCTCTTAACCCTCATGAAATGTAAAACAAGCAGAGGCTGCTCGAGGAATCTTCATACTTGAGACTAAAAACTGACTCTTTCCTGACTCTACTGAAATGCCATTTTTCACTGGCCCTGTGCCGTCAGAACCCCAGGCACAGTTCATCTGAGGGAAGTAAGGGGATTTAGCTGACACAGAGGGTAGATAATACAATACAAATGGCTGGATACATAAATAGTACTGGTTTTAAGAGTTTTAATCTCAACTTYTCCACATATCATCTGGTTATTTAATGTCACTAGTCTCCGTTTTTAATCTGAAAATGGGTATAATCATATCTATTAAGGGGACAAGAACTGGTCAAGGGAGAAGTAGTTAAATTCAAAATGTTTTTCTATTTATAGTTTTGTGACAGACTGTTAAATTCTGTAAAAATCATAAAATGTTGAAAGTGAATAAGAATCTAGAGTGAATAAGAATTTCATTTGGTTCAATGCCATAATTTTGCAAATGAGGAAAATAATATCTGAAAAAGCTAGGAGGCTTCTCCAGGATCAAAGAGATGATTGGTGGTGAAAGGGCAGTGATTTCTTCCAACTTTATGGAAAACTCATCTTAAAACAAGAATTGTAGAGACGTTTTCACCATTTTTAGTTTTATTTTATGGAAAATATTTCAAGAGAAAATCTTTCCTAGAGATATCACAGAGACTCGTCTATAGTTCCAAGACTTGTGTCTCTTTAGAGTCAATATGCTAGGTTTTAAAACTTTATCCAGATGTGGGCGGTATTATTACTCCATGGTATAGGACAGTCTGTATTTACTTTTCTCTGACCAGTATGGTTGCAATATAACATCTTCAGTTGAACTTTATTTTTCAGGGCTAAAACAATATCATTTCTGTAAACATGTGTTCTATTTTCTAGATGTCTCCTGAAGAAAAGGTTTGCAAATACTGTGGAGTCAGCTATCTAATTCTTCATGAATTTAAGGCTATGGAAGAAAAAATGAAAGCAATGGAAAAAGAGATGAAATTTTACCAAGAAAGTGTAGAACGTGAAAGGAGACTTCAAGAAAAGCTGCAGTCGCTTAGCCGAGATTTTGAACAGTACAAAATTGACAGTGAATCCAAAACAGAAAGGTTGGAATGTTTTTCTTCTCTATAATTTTTTAGTTTCAAAGAAAGTATGGAAAACAGATTTTGATGTTTTTCTAGAATTTCCTTACCAAGTATAATTTACACTTGAATATAGTTGAGTGGTCATTAATTATATTAATAGTTACTAAATATAATTATTAGTTTGAAGCTTTGTTCTGAGGAATGTATTTACTATCTGAATAATTAGAAACCAATTACTTTGGTAACTCTTAAGTTGATGGATCAATTTTTTCCCCATACATATACACATCTTATTTTTCTAGGAAGATTTATTTATTAAAATTCAACTTTTGATACCCAACATTTGTATTGAAATGGCTTTGGCTTTTAAAGCTTAATAGAATAAGGACTTTGTGTTTTGAAAAGAATACCAAGACATTAAAACTAGTACATGATTTTAAGTTATTGAAATTGGAATAAAATTGAAAAACAAGATGTTAATAGTATAGAATGGAATCAGCAATTTATTCTGTCTAAAGACCCATTGGTAATGAACTTATATAGATGCTTCTCCACAAGGTTTTTTGTTGGTGTTTTATGGTCTTTCCTTTTTCCTATGAAGGACAATTTTTTTTTGGTTTAAAATATTAACGATTGATGCTAGTAAGCCCTCAGTTAATGAATTTGGAGAATATCATGTCCATGTAAAAGTAGTTATATTTTATTATAAAATTTCATATAAAAGTATATAACTTCATTAATTGCCAAAGGAATCAGATATTTTTTAGTCCTTTACCAAGAAAATTTTGTTATAGTTTCTTCAGTTTCAAATCTGGGTCATAAAATATTTTATAGTATTTGAGAGGGAAAATTAAACAAAATTAAAGATTTGAAATATTCAGTTTAAAAGTTTAAATTTGAAGGGTTTCTTCCTGTCAGGGATTCTTTTGCTTGGTGTTGTTTGCACTTTACTTTCTTTAGTGAAATGTTGTATTATGCATGTTGGATATAAACATGTGAAGTAAAAACAACAAAGAAAACCAACAGGCAGGAGAGTCCCTTTTTACCCCGTGGTTGCCTTCTTACACGAGTCAAAGCACTTTGATTGGTTTGGTACATGCCTTTCTCGATCTTCATGGTGCCTTTACCTGTGCTGTGGGTACATTTCTTTGATTTGGCATCACAGCTTTGAGCAGCCTGGACTGTAAGTGCATAGTCAGCGTGTGGTTCTGTGACCTGGCCACTCAGCCACAACCTGCTGCCCTTCCCTGTAGAGATGCTTTCTCTAGCACAACAGGCCTGAGATGACTTAGCCATTTCTCTTTTCAACCTGTATGTTATTTCTGTTTTTTTTTTTAATATTTATTTATTTATTTATTTTAAATCTTTGGTGGACACAACATCTTTGTTGGTATGTGGTGCTGAGGATTGAACCCGGGCCGCACGTATGCCAGGTGAGCGCGCTACCGCTTGAGCCACATCCCCAGCCCTATTTCTGGTTTTTATTACTGCACCCAGCCCGGGATAAATTCTTAAAAGTGAGATTGCTGAAAGAAAGCCAGTGCTGCTTTCAAGTTCTGGTGCGGGCTGTGCCAGATTGCCTTGGAGAAGGCAGCATTAACTATATGCAGCCAGTAGCTCGTCAAGCATCCATTTCCCCCCATCTTATTGATATTGGTTTCTTAATTTTTCTCAGTATCTTGAGTGAAAAAATATTACCTCATAATTGTCTTTTGCTGTTGCTAAGGAGGGTGATCACTTTTCATATTTAATAGGTATTTATATTTCTTCCTCTGTTGCTTGCCTATGTACGTAAATTGCCCAGTTTCTATTGGATTGTTTATTTTTACGAGTTTTAAATATATTGTGACTTAATATATGTTGTTAATATTTTCTCAGAGTTGTTTGTCTTTTTTTCTTGTTTACTTTTGGCTGCACTTTGTTTTCATTTGTAGAAAATAATATTCTGTGCCAAATTCTGGTCCATTAGAGTTCTGTGCCAAGTTCTTTTGGTTGCAAATAACAGAAACTTACTCTTTTTAACACTAACCTAGAAACAAAAAGGGACTTATTGGAGAAGCATGAGATGGTAGCTCATTGGTAGAAAGCAAACACTCAAGTACACTGGTTTTGAAATCAGACAGTAAGAGAACTTGCTTGGGGATCTGGAGGTCTCTTTGGAGTGAATGAACTCCCATTTTTCTTCCTTGCATTATTTCATCAAGATTGGAATCCCAGTAAAGGGTTTTGTTGGCTTCACGAGGATTACCTGACCATCCCCAACCCCTTTGAGCTGGAGGAAGGGGAAACCTTGACCTTGATTGACAGTTATGTGAAGACTTTATACAAGGAAGGAAAAGATTTTCACCAAAGAGAAATTAGACTCTTATTATCAGAAGAAGAGGGAGTAGATTCAGGCAAGTAAAAACAACATATGTTTAAAAACTTAACAGTATTATCTTGGAATTAGCTTTGTAATATCTTTGGAATTAATTTTCATATAATGTGAGGTAGGTTATTATTTCATGTTTGTTGTTGCTTTCCAGATGTCTGGTTTGTTATCCTAATATCATTCATTAAATTCTTTCTCTTTTCTCCTCTGATTTTCCGTGCCATCTATTCATTTCTCTTCTTGTCTATTTGTGGACCCTGCATTTTGTACTGTTGACTTACTGTCTGTCAGTGGGCCCGTACCATACTTTTGCTGAGCTAATCTTTGTTTTGCTTTTCAAGTTGTCCTGGCTTTTCTAGTGTATTTTCTCTTCTGGATAAATTCTAGAGCCAACGCTAACCAGATTTCATAAAACATTTCGTGTTGTGATTTAGGCTGGGGTTAAATTTATTTTCTAGAGCAATTATATATCTTGAGAATTGATATTTTTATAATCTTGAGTCTTCTTATCCTGTAATGTAGTATTCCCCTCCTGACTATTTATTCAGAAGTTCTTTGAACCTCTCAATAAAAGTCTTTATTTTCTTGCATATTCTGAATTGGTTTAGCCCCTGGACACATAATTTCTGTTGGTATTTGGAATCAAACATTTTTCATTACATTTTCTAATTTTGTTAATGCTATTGATTTTTATATATTGTGATTTTGTATCTAACTCCCTTGCTGAATTTTTTATTAGTTGTATGTTTTCCAGTTGATTTTGATGAATATATATGTTATATATATTCATAACACACAAAAGCATGCACATTAAAATTGATATATCATGCAGATAGACTTATCTTTTTATTTCCAATTGTTATATCTCCCCATGCCCTTCTTCTTATTACTCTGGATTGGACATGTAGAACAGTATTAAATAATAAACCTGGAAGTTCATCTTTGTCATTATTTCTGATTTGATGTGAATTTGTACAGTGTATTTCTGTGTTAAATAGAATGTTTGCTCTAAGTCTTTAGAAAATGTCCTGTTATCAATTTAAGAATTTCTTTTTTTATTCCTAGCTCTTCCAGTTTTTCAAAAACTCAGAAATTGTAACTGGATTTTAATAAGTGCTTTTCTGTCTTCTGTTGTGATGATCATATGATTTCTCTCCTTAATCTGTTTATATAATAAATAGTACTAATGGGTTTTCTAATATGAAGGTATACTCACATTTTTGGTATAAAACCATTCTGGTCACAGTATATTCGTTGGGATTCCCTGATATTTATGCATGTGTTTCCTTCCTTCATGATTATTGCCACAGATGAAAGTACTCTGTACTATTTTCTATAAATATTCTTTTAAATATATATAATTTCTGTGATTATAATAAGCAGAAAAACTTTATCATTTGCCATAGATAGAAGGTCAAAAATAAATATGTAATTATTAAAATAGTTTTTGGTGTCTCTGTAAACACTAAAGTAATGTCCATACTACTGTGATGTGTGAAATAGTTTCTGAAGAGCTTTGTTCTTCTCATAGTGTTGGATTAATATGCTAATATATTACAAAAAGTTTTGAACTGTGTTCACATGTGAAGTGTCTGTAGTTTTATTTTTTATGGTGCCAAGACTGGCTTATACCAGTTTAATWTGAAATAAGTTAAGAGCCTTTCATCTTTTGTACACCAGACATTTTGAATAACATAGCATTGCCTGTTCATGCAGGTTTGGTAGACCTCTGAGGTAAAAAGTGTCTTGTGTCTTTTTTGGGTGGTCAAACTTTGGTGACCCTTTGTGTTTCCTCTGTAATTATTGTTTTACTTGTGGATTTTTACCTCCTCTTGAGTCAGTTTTGGAAATTCACATTTTTTTAGACAATCAAGAATTTCACTTGGCATTTCATGCATCTTGGAATTTAGTAATATGTAGTATTTTCTTATTTAAAAGGTCATTCTCTATGTTTTTATGTTCTCCCTTTCTTTCTTCCTTGAGTCGGTTATTTGTGTTTGGTTGAAAAAGAACCAAAGGGGGCTGGGGAGGGAAACTTTCCAAGGAAAGTAAACAGATTGTCCCTTTTATTGTCCTTTTCAAAGGAGCAGATTTGGTTTCATCAGTCAAACTGGTTTATTTTCTGTTTGTTTTCTATTTCTGTGAATTGGATTCCCCCTTTTTTCCTTCCTTCTCCTCTCTCTCTTCCCCTGCCCCCCACCCCAGGGCTGGGAATTGAACCTGGGGTTTTGCATGTTTAGGCAAATGCTCAACCATTGAGCTAGATCTGCAGCTGTGTTTTCTATTTCATTGATTTATGCTCTTATTTGTATTCATTTGGAAACTTTTAATTTCTAGTTCTCTTGGTAGTTATGGGAGTGAAGTCTTGGTTAATTTATATTCAGTCTCTTATAAAGTTATCAAGTTTTCCTGAGGTGACAAGAGAACCACAAATCTTTTGATAATAGTACTCTATTTTCATTTACTTCTAAATTAGATAAAAGTTTAGTTTTTATTTTTTAATTAAAAAAATACTTGGAAGAATGCTTTTATATTTCTCAATGGGTAGATTTTTGTGGCTACCCTTTTATTTACATCTGTTTTCTTCAAGTGTGGACAGAGAATATAGCCAATTTTGGAGAACTTAAGAACTTAATATACAGTAAATTTT